ATATATATATATATATATATATATATATATCTCTCTCTGTATATCTATCTATATATATATATATATATATATATATATATATATTTATATATATATATATATATATATATATATATATATATACATATATATATAGATATACATATATATATATATATATATATATATCTATATATATATATATATATATATATATATATATATATATATATATATATATATATCTATATATATATATATATATATATATAAATATATATATATATATATATATATATATATATATATATATATATATATATATATATATATATATATATATATATATATATATATATATATATATATATATATATATATATATATATATATATATATATATATATATATATATATATATATATATATATATATATATATATATATATATATATATATATATATATATATATATATATATATATATATATATATATATATAAATAGATAGAAAGATAGATAGATAGATAAATAATAGCCGTTAAATTAAATAAAATTTACTGTAAAATAACATAGTTTGAATTACATATATTTACCAGAAATTAAAGTTTAAATAAATTTCTGTAATCTAATATCTGTTATTTTACAGTAAATTTCTGTAATTTAACTGCCGTCATTTTAAGTTTTTTTTTTTTCCAACACCCCAGCGACTGGAAATAAACCGTAGAATTATGGATTTCTTTTACAGTGTAATATTTTTAGGTCACAAACTATGCAACCTTTCAAATGGCAGATGTTGTTTACTGTTGAACAGGCCTGGCTTAAACCATCACAAAAATTGTTCCAGGCAGAGACACGTTCAAATTGTCAGCCACTTAATCTAATTAATTCCTGTACATCATCACTGCTCTCAGACAACATGCCATTAATAGTAAGGAAAAACATGTTTTTATTAGAATTAGTTTTTTAAAGACATTTTCTTTAACCTAGAACAAGTCTTCAATCAATTTAATATAATAACAATGATTGAACACAGCAGTCTCAGTCTCTGATCCTTTTTTGTATAAAGGTATTCTTTCAAAGGTATTATATTCAGATTTATTAATTGAAAAAGTAAAAAGAACTGTATCTATGGCATAATTTGAAAGCACATTGAATTTATTTTCTCAACTAAAGTTCTTCAGTGCCTTGAATACAAAGTAGCATTAGGCGAGAAAGATCTATCCAGTAACAACAAAACATTTCAATCAAACATTTCAACAATATTAACTCTACATACAAAAGTAAAGTTGGTAAAATACTCACAGTGTTCCTCATTTTGAACAGGATGGTAAATTATTGTGAAACATTTTTGTCACGCAAAAGCGCAGTCATTTGCTGTTCACAGTATCCCGGCAGTGGAGACTAGAAGCTATTTTGAGCTACTGCTTCAGCCTTCATTTGCTTAATCTTTGCTCACTTGTAATCTCACCAACCAGGGACAACAGTATTTGAGAGAGGATGTGAGCTGCACGCACTATTATCTACCCCGTTGATCTATTATGGACACCAAGAGTCTCAATTTAAGCATCATCAGCTCTGTTTCTGCTTCAGTTCCAGGTAACTGGAGGTAATGTGTTATATAAGCAATCAATAAATAAATAAAGTCTGCTGAGAAGTATTGGACATGCCTAAAGTAATTAGTTCAATATTAGTTAATATTATATGCTATTTCTCCCAAATAGTAACTGAGTTAACAGAATTACTTAGTTAGAAAAATATCTATCACCAATAAAAGTAACTTTTTAAAAGAAAAATATGTAAATATAAATGACTAATTGTATGTTGAATGAAATGGACCCTTTTTATCAAAAAAATGGAAATTAAAAATGGAAATTTTTATCATAAAACATTCTACACTATTCACTTGCTATACTTTGTCTTAGTTTCTGATTTATCAGGGGCCACTACAGCAGAATGAACTGCCAATACTCTGGCATTTGTTTTATGCAGCAAATGCCCTTTAGTCGCATCTACACTATTGTATAGGCCTGAATTAATGTTGGTGTGTGACATTGTGAAAGATGTTTTATATATTTTATTGTAAATATATAATACAACATTATTTAACGTCTTAAAATACATTCTTAATAAATGTAGCAAAATATAGTTTAAATATTAGAGTATTATTTTTTAAATATTATTTAGAGTAATATTTTTATATTTATATAAAATATAAAAGTGGGTGGCGCAGAAGGTAGTGCTGTCGCCTCACAGCAAGAAGGTCGCTGGTTCGAGCCTCGGCTGGCTCAGTTAACGTTTCTGTGTGGAGTTTGCATGTTCACCCTGCATTCTCGTGGGTTTCCTCTGGGTGCTCCGGTTTCCCCCACAGTCACAAGACATGCGGTACAGATGAATTAAGTAGGCTAAATTGTTCGTAGTGTATGAGTGTGTGTGTGTCAGTGAGTGTGTGTGGTTGTTGGAATGGGTTGCGGCCGGAAGGGCATCCGCGGTGTAAAAATGCGCTGGATAAGTTGGCGGGTTATTCCGCTGTGGCCACCCCAGATTAATAAAGGGACTAAGCCAACAAGAAAATGAATGAATGGTTGAATAAAAGTAGGTAATATTAGCATCTTTCAGTTGAAACAGATTTAGCGATTACATAAGATACTTTACGTTACAGCCTGTTTCTTTTAACAGACCTTTATGTTTATAATTTATGCATTTTTGTGTGACGTAAATGTATTTATTATCATAAGTACATTTTGCAATATATGCACATCTCAAAAACATACTAATGCCTTTTAAAAAAACAACATGGACTCTCTTTCTCACTGACTGACCCCTTCGGCTTGATTCATAATCAAAAAGATTCAAGATAAAAAATGATTATAAACATGAAAAAAAACATGAAATTACAAAAAATGGCAGCAAATTAAGAAAATCCGTTTGGCACCTTCATCCGTTTGGCACCACACATGCTGCAAATTCTCACAGCTTATACAAATTTTAAAAAAACGCACTTCATTTTCTTACAACAAAAACATTAATAAAACTCGCTGCATTTTCCCTGAAAAAAGAATGAATATTGTGTATGACTGCATTTATACATCTCTGCAATGACTCAAATAACATTAATAAAGTGATCTGGAATGGCAAAGAAAGCGTTTTTGCAGCACTCCTATAGTTCATCAAGATTCATCTGAATTCATCTTCAGTGCCTCCTTTATCTTACCCCGGACATGCTCAATAATTTTCATGTCTGGTGACTGGGCTGGCAAATCCCGAGCACCTTGACCTTTTTTGCTTTTAGGATTTTGATGTGGAGGCTGAAGTATGAGAAGGAGCACTATCCTGCTAACAATTTACCATCTCCAGTGGTTTGTAATGTAATGGGCAGCACAAATGTTTTGATACCTCAGGCTGTTGATGTTGCCATTCACTCTGCAGATCTCTCTCCTGCCCCCATATTGAATGCAACCCCAAACCATGATTTTTCCTTTAGCAAACTTAACTGATTTCTGAGAATCTCAGGTCCATGTGGGTTCCAGTAGGTCTTCTGCTGTATTTGTGATGATTGGAATGCAGTTCAACAGATGATTCATCAGAAAAATCTATACCTTCTGCCACTTTTCCAAATTATTAACTAGAAGTCAAGTTATTATTTGTTGCTCTTACACATATATTAATAGTGATGCAAAAGGATTATGTAAGTTTACAAAAGTAACTGATTATTGAACACATTTAGTCTACATTTGATATACTACATTTAATATTAGAGAGAGAATTATGATAGGGTACCTGTCAAAAAGTTTGATGGATTGTAGCCCCGCCCCTAAGGCGGGACTTCCGGTCTAAGCCCCGCCCCTTTTATATAAACTTTATAGTTCCGGTAATTAGATTCTTATCGTTTTTATATAAAATAATAGTTCCGGTAATTAGATTTTTATCGGTTTAATATAAAATAATAATTCCGGTAATTAGATTTTTATCGGTTTAATATAAAATAATAATTCCGGTAATTAGATTTTTATCAGTCTAATTANATTAATAGGCTATTTCCAGGTAATGAAAATATTGGTAATTAAATTCTAATNCAACAGAAATAAATTATTATTATAATAATAACGGTAATTAAATTACTGTTATTAGAACCATTATTTTATATTTTTAGTTATTTGACTAAATTATATTATTATATTACAATATATTATATTATATTAAGTTATATAAAATTAATATTTTATTAAATAAAATTATGTATTGTATTATAATATATTATATTAAGTTATATTAAATCATTATTTTATTAACTTA